TCCAGTGAATGTGACTGCTTAAACATACCTAATGTTACATATGCACTGTGGAACAGCATGCAGTTATTAAAAATGGCATGTAGAGGAATATTTCTTGATGTAGAATGATTTCAAAAATGTGTTGTTTAAAAAATAAGTTACAAAACTCCCCCCTGGATCTCATCCACTCTCAGTTTTAAACACTTTGGTACACACTGACATCTCTTAACTTCCATCTCCAGCCAGGATCTCTCTCTGAGCTCCAGCATCGGATATCCCAACTGGCACTCCCATTTGATCGCTAACAGCCATCTCACGTTAGATGCCTGTTCTCCCATGCCCACCTTAAATTGTTCTCCCTCCGCCGCCTCTGTCTCAGCTAATGGTAACTTCAACCTTCTTCTGCTCAGGCCCAAACCCTTGGAGCTGTAATTGATTCCCTTTCCCCACTCAGTTTACATGTCCAAAACTCATTGCCTCTGTCTTAAAATTGTATCCAGATCTGACCCCTCATGCCCATGCCCTTTGTCCAAACTACCACCTCACCCCACTGAATTACTACAGCAGTTTACAATTTGGTCTTTTTGCTTTCTTCTTTGCCGTCTGCAAAGTGATCCTTTCAAGTATGCATCGAATGGTGTCACTTCTAAGCTCAAAAAACTCTTAATAGCCAAACATGAATAGGATAAATGCCAGAGTCCTAGAAATCTTACACGCCCAAGGCGATACAACCTGCGACGCTCTTTTTTCTCTTACTGTGCTGTTTCCAATCTGCTTCCATGTTCCTTGCTATTCCATAAACACTACAAGCATGTTCAAAGCTTCACTTTTCTTTCAGAAAACCATCTCACAGCCATTTCTATCAAGTCTTCGCTCAACTGTGAGGTCTTCCTTGACTATTTAAAACTGCAGTCCTCCACCTTTCTCACTCACTGTATGTCCTTTGCTTTATTTTTTCCATCGTACTTTACATCCTCTAACAAATGCTATCATTTATTTATTTCATTTGTTTTGCTTCCTTCCCCGGATGGAAGATTTTTTTTTATATATATATTTTTAGTTTTTCTCCGGTACCGGGAACCGAACTCACGACCTTGTGCTTGCCAGGCAGGCGCTTTGCCGCTGAGCTAAATCCCCAGCCCCTGAATGGAAGATTCTTGAGAGCAGAGGTTTCTTTCTCCCCTCTCCCAATCCCAGAGCAGTGCCTGGCATGGAACAGGCAGTATTTATTGGATGACTAATACAGTTTTTGACTTTATATTGTAGTTTCATGTAGAGAAATGTTTTCCCCACAAACCTGTGAGTTGCTTAAGGGAGAGGAGGGTGAGCTTTACTGTGACTCGCCCTCCACCCTCCAAGTGTCTGTCATAGTTTCTTCTGCAGCAGGCAATGGATATATAGTAAGTGAATGATGGAGAGACTTCCTACCTCAGGTCAGGAAACAAGGTCATCCAGGAGCGCCCTGCTCGTTGTTTTAAAGATAGCGGCAGCAGACATCACTTACAGCAGCTCCCTGCCCATCCAAGTTAACTGATACCAACACCTACCCTCTTCTCTTCCCAATATTAAGTACACTGAAGAGTTAACAGCTTCAGGGTCAAACTTCAACCCATAGGGACAAGAGTTGGTGGATAAAATGCTGCAGCTGCCCCAGCCTCTGGTCAACGAAGGGATAGCAAGATGGTGCCATGGTGCGCAAGCAGAAGCCAGCAGCATTTTAAAACATTGAAGAGGTTACCACAAACAGACCTTTAGTTTTTTGGGTTTTTTTTTTGTCTTTTTGAGACAGGGTCTCGCTATGCGGTTCAGGCTGGCCTTGAGCTCACTTTGTAGCCCAGGTTGGCCTTGAACTTGAAACGATCCTTCTGCCTCAGCCTCCCAAGTGCTGGGATTATAGGCATATGCCACCATGCCTGGCAAAACCTTCCATTTGAAAGTGCCATTTATATCATTTCTTTTCAGCCTCCAGCAGTGCCTGGCATCTAGTAGGTGCTTAGTGGATGCTTCCCACTGCTTGGAAAACAATGCCTTCCGTGGTGGAGGCCAGCTCTGAAGCTGCTTCAGGGTGGAGAGTTGTTCCTTGCTAACTGTTGAATACTCCTGAGCTCTGGAAGTAGCAGCTCATCAGTGCCCTCACGGACCCTCTGAGACTGTGAATTTTAAGACCCTCAGTCCCAGCACTGCAGCCAGAACCAGACCTCCAGCTCTGAGGGTCTGGTCTTATTTCCACAGTAGCCCCTGAAAACATTCCAAAGAGGTAATTTTGGAGACTGACGGGCACTCACATTTTCAGATTCAATTTCAACGAAGTGTTACCGTTTAAGAAGGCCTGCCAAAAAGATAATGGAGATTAAAAAAAAAAAAGCACTCTGTAAACTGGAAAGTGCTATCCAAAGGTTAGCGATCTGAGACTCACTGCCAAGGTCAACAAATCCAGCACTGGATGGAGTGCCAGACTGCAAGCTGGAGCCACAGCAAGGCTGGTCATTCAAGGGCCCCTTCTAAAGGGGCTGTTAGAGAGGATTTCTAAGCTCAAAGGGGCACAGTTGCCTGTGAACTCACCCTAACCCCACCACCTAGTTCAGTACAGTACACATGCTGAATAGAATCAACGTTTACCTTATATATTTGCATTAACACTGATAATTTCTCTGGGTTCTTCCCAGCTTGCTGGCATTTCAGGGGCCACACACCGTGCTCCCACCACCTGCACCACTGGGCATCCGACCGTCTGTCCAAGGTTTCCAACCGTCTGGGCACATGGGTGTTTTTCTTCCACATTAGTTTACATTTGTCCCAGCTGCATTACAATTTAGATTCTGCACATAGCCTGGCTTTCAAAACCGCATTCTTCTGCCCTCACACTACCTCTTTGTCATCCAGCAACTGAATAAGCATTGTTCCTCTGGCTTGGCTCGCGAAAAGGGGCCCTGGTGAAGAATAAACTTCACGTCTTCTGGCTCCCTTACCCTAGCGCCCAGCAGTAGCCGGGCAGCAGTGTTTGGTGACCTCCCGCATTAGGTTAATGATCTGTCTGGGCCTAGGTTGGATAATGAGCCCGGGAATAATGGGAAGCTGACTGTCAAAGCCTTATCGTGGGGAAGCTGAGAGGAGAGGTCTTTTGTCCCGCATCTCCCACCCCTGCGCCCCAAGCATCTTTCCTTCATCTATCCAACCTAATGGGGCTTCTGTGACATCCATTCACTCCCCACAAGCTCCCATTCAAGCGGCTGTGCCCCGATTCACTCTCGGATGTTTCTACACTTAAAGGCTTGTAAACCAGTGAAAGAAAGATAGTAGATAAACCGACAGAAAGCCTCTGTTCTAGGCTTGAAAAAGGGCTCCACTTTATTTCTCTGCTGTAACAGGAGTCTTGAAAAGCATGAATTAAGGATGCAGAAGGTGGTGAAAGAACACTGGATGTTGCGATCCTGGACACAACCCTGCCAACTTTATTTCCTGCCACAGCCTCCCAAAATGACATAGTCATGAGCAACAGGCAGGCTTCGAGGAAACACACCCACAGTCGCACGGCTAGAAAAAGCACAAGCTGGGTTTTTTTTTTTTATTTTTTGTCTTTTTGAGACAGGGTCTCGCTATGCAGTTCAGGCTGGCCTTGAGCTCACTTTGTAGCCCAGGCTGGTCTCGAACTCGCAATGATCCTCTTCTGCCTCAGCCTCCCAACTGCTGGGATTATAGGCATGCACCACCAAGCCCAGCAAGCTGGGGTTTTGTTTTGTTTTATTTTATTGATTTATTTTTTGTCTTTTTGAGACAGGGTCTCGCTATGCAGTTCAGGCTGGCCTTGAGCTCACTTTGTAGCCCAGGCTGGCCTCAAACTCGCAACGATCCTCCTGCCTCAGCCTCCCGACTGCTGGGATTACAGGCATGCACCACCACGCCCAGCTGTTTTGTTTTAAATGAACCAACCATTAGTAAAACTTTTACTTGTCAAAAGCAATACCTGTCAGGAGAAAAACAGGAAATGGTCTTTGAAGGTTTTGCTGGCTTTCAAAGTATCCACCTAAGGGGCTAAACTAAAATAATTCTGGGATTCAAAACATTCAGTCTGCCGGGTGCGGTGGTGCATGCCTGTAATCCCAGCACTCGGGAGGCTGAGGCAGGAGGATCGCTGCAAATTCAAGACCAGCCTGGGCTACAAAGTGAGCCCCAGACCAGTCTGAAGTGCATAGCAAGACCCTGTCTCAAAAAGAAACAAAAAAACCCACTCAGTCTGAAAAGATGAAACAAATGTGCCCACGTACTTCCCTAGGGATGGACCTCAGAGGATGATACTCTAAATAGGTAGCAATCACCTTAAAAAAGCCAGTCACTAACCCAACCCCCTACAGGAAGAGTCCCTGTTCTCTATTCATGCCCACTTGCTACATGATTTGCGTTCCCATTTGATCCTGACTTAATCATCTTTACCTGAGCAATTATACTTGGAATCTTACTGACTGATTGCCATTTTGTCCCACCTCATGATTTCCCATTTTTCCCCACCTTGGACCCACCTCACCTCATGGTTTTGCTCTATCAAGTCCCTAAAAAAGACTGGTTCCCGGGGAATCCACTCAGGCCCCCTTCTGTTCCTCTCTTGGACAGCAGCTTTCTTTCCCTTGATAAATATATTCTGCTCTTAAAAAAACCACACACATTCAGTCTAGTGCATCTTTTCATACAATCTAAAACGCAAACACAAAATATACTTTCAGAAACCAGTTACTAAGAAGAGCTGGTCGTTGGGGCACAGCATGATCTCCGCTCAGCACTGGCTGGAGAAGGTCTGCCTACCTACCTCCTACTCTTCTGGATCGAACTTTTAGCCAGAGTTTAGTAGGAGCTGTTTACGCTTCTTTCTAGGTTAAGCTTCCTCAACTACCACTACACACTTAAGACTAACCGGCTGAGGCAGAAGGTAAGGGTAGAAGGGTAGGGGATGGAGAAGCCAAACAGCTTTTCCCTGCTTGGAAAACTACATCCCTGAAGGCAAGAACGAGGCTGGTTCCAGGCGCTTGGTAAACGAAAAGCAAACTTCTTTATTGTACACAGTACAGAATATAACGCAGCTTGGCAGGATGCATACAGCCCTGCGCGGGGGGAAGTATTTAAAAATCAATCGGCAGGTTAAAGCCTTTCTGCACTGTAGATTTTCCACACTCTGGAAAAGAAGCAAATGAACCAACCCCCAAAAACTCTGAAAGAAACCAAAACCATCTGGGAGGTGCATGAGTCCAATGGGAATGCAATGGTGATGCCTCCGTCCTACACCCCGCAAGCACAGGCCTCGTAGTCACAGCAGGGGAGGGGACAGCTCAGACTACAGAAGATTATTTTCATACTTGCTAAACCGGCATAAATTCATCAAAAAAAAAAAAAAAAAAAGAAAGAAAGAAAGAAGAAAAACAAAAAACCACCCCAAACCAGTATAAGTAAAGAAAGGAAAAAAATCTATACAGCATTTACAACAAATAAATCTCTAGCCAGCTGGGGGTAAAATATGCATCTATGTATAGACTATGTGTAGATTAGAAAGCTATAAATATGGTTTAGAAAGAGTCCTTTGATTAGAGTATGACGCTAATTAAGACCCAAGCAACAGGTTTGAAACTTTCGTGGGCTAATTAGCTTCCAGTAGAGGAAAATCTCATGTTTTCATAGCTGTAGGACACACAATTTGTCCTTGTCGACTTCACCAATGCGCTGCTGGTCATACCGGGGACCATGGAGCGCTGTTACAGAACAGCGTTTCACTGCAGCGTCTCACACTCATGGAGTGAGCACTGTCTCCTCGCGCACACGAGGACAGCGCGGTCATCCTTTATGCGCCGAGCCTGTTGCGGGGCACACAGCCCTCACCACCAATAGCAGGCCGCCACATACTACCGCTTTCTAGCCACTTCTCCTCTACCTTGAGCACAACTTGCACAGAACTTTAGCTTGGTTGTTTTAAACTTCACCAATATAATACAGCAACCAGAAGAAACTTTAAGAAAAAAAAAAAAAAGTGGCAGGAAACCAGAATACTAGCACTGCCTTACCTGTCAATGTCACGTGTAAATCTCAAACCCTACTGAATTCTTATGCAGGGTTTATAGTCCAAGATTTAAAGAAAAAGGTAAATAAAACAAACTGGTGAAATGGCAGTTGCCATCAGTCATGCCCAAGGAAGTAGCCCTGGGTTCCCACCAGGTGACCAGGTTCCAGGTGACCAGGACACAACATGTAGTATGTACATCTGCCTCCCAGGGGGCACGTTACTGAACGTGGTGCACTATACACATAGAATCTAAGCTTGTGTCCAGGCTGCCCTGCACACTTCAAAAATATACAACTTGGGTGCAAACGTTCTGCTGGGTTGTCTGGCGCAGAGGGCACAAGGCAGGCAACAAGGCGGGCTTTCACACGGCCGGGGGGAGCCCCGGCAAGCCCCTCTCAAGCTGCGGCGTCATAGGAAGTCGGCACGGCCCTGCCTAAGGGACACAGTGCCGTTACCAAAAGGTTTGTTTTTGTTTTGTTTTGTTTTGTTTTTTTGCTTTAAATACCAAAACTACAAAAATCAGTTTATAAACTGTTTTTCCAAAACAACCACCAACACAAAAACAATCCCCCCGAATCAAAGCAAAACAAAATACTGTCAAAAGTGTTAATCGCCCTTCCAAAATGAAAGCCAACCACCTTCAGCCATGTGACTAGGAAGAAAGAGGGGGGGCTTGAGCTATTTGGTGACCACATGGCCGGGAAGATTCCCAAGAGAAGCGATGGTTTATGATTTGAGAACCAACGGAGTGGGTAACAGCTGTCCTGAGTCCAGTTCCTGGACCAAGGGGGCACATCCAGAGTGAGCCAGAACTCGCAAATCTTAAGATGTATTTTAAAGCCTTAATGATCTGTTCTGGACCTCCCCAGCGAAGCCTACCTCCTCTGTTAGGGCTTATGACTTCTTTTTTCTATAAACTGTGCAAATCAGAGCCCTTCTGTGTACAGACACTTAGCTGTCCATGATCAACGCAGATTGTCACACACTCGGTCCTTCTTGCGGGTACGGACCTGAACAAGGTATTGCTTTACATGTATTGTCCATGGTGCTAAGGAGGCTCCACTCCCACTCTTCCCAGAAACCTTGTGAGAATCACCGCCTGGGGTGACTTTTTCCCCCTCCCTGTTCCCACTCCCAGCCAAGGTATCCGTGTGTAAGGGTGTCAATCCAGAGCCGGCTCGGGTTCTCAGATAATATTCAAAGGGCAAGCTTTAGGAATAGCCAAGAACACAAACAAAACCACTGCCCTCGTTTGCTGAATGGGAGCTGCTAGCTCTAGGGTTTGGCCGCTCAGCCGCTCGGAAACTTAGTAAGCAAAGCCTTCGGCGTAGGGGAGACTGCTGCAGCGATCCACGTCCAGGAGATAAGCAGGGCTGTCGTCAAAGTGGGTCAGGGGCAGGGTGTCCTCCTCGCTGAGGGGGCATTCGGACTCTGCCTTCAGGAACGGGCGTTGATTGTCCGGAAAGGCCATGGAGAAAAGGGCATCCGGGTCGCAGACAAATTTGTAAACGTATCGTTCCCCAGCCACCTGTGAGAGAAAACACCCCTTATAAGGCCCAGCTGAAACAGGGCGGGCAAGGGAAGAAAATGATGTATTTTTAAGTCACCAACCTCTCAGGGAGCCCCAAACCAAAAGCTCATTAGTAGCTGATTATCCAAATCATTTGTATGTGAGAAGTCTTGGGGACCTATCACCTGCCAAGAATTTTGTTGACAGCACAGCTCAGCAGTTGAAAGAGGCAGTATCTGAATTTCAGATTCACACCACATAGGCAAAATCTTCACTTTTTGTCTTACACTGACAGTGCAGAAAGCGTAGGAAGCACAGTTCTGCTGAAGCTGGGGCCTGGGGTTCCACGTCTGAGTGGTATCATGCAGAAGCCAGACCCCAGTTTGAATCACCTCCGAAGTTTACAGTCTTCTTGGGGTGGATTTGTTACTTTGACGGGTTAGGAATTTGAGGAAGGAGCTTGTGTGGAAATTTTAAGTATGTTCCAAAGCCAAGGAGAAATGCTTCTGGATCTACCTGCAGTTTTAAATTATACACTGCATGGTTCTGCCACGCTGAAGGAACCCATAACTGCCTTTCCATGGATTTAACGCATTGTGTATTACTAGAGGCAGGAGTCTTGATTATTCAAGGGCCTCATCACGTAGCGGACCAGCCATCTAGGTCGCTGGGCTTGCCCACTCTGCATTGTTTAGCAATAGAGCAGCAGCGTACAGAACCCTGAAAATCAAAGCTGATTAGCAGCTTCTGTCAGATAATGCAGAAGGGCAGGGAAAGGCCGTGGCAATTCTGATACATTTTAGACTAAAAAAATTTGCATTACTGAGTTTAACTCTGTTTTTCCATCATTTTGCTGTGATTCTAAAATCTCTTCTCAAATGCAGTATGCATAGCTTTGTTCCTAAATTTTGGTTTTCAGAAATCTGTTGCTACAGTGCCAGCACAACTGTCCTGGCAGGTTTAGGGTGACACTTCTAGGTCCAGTCACCTAAACAACATTCCTTGGAACTCAAACACCAGGAATCAGGACTGGGTATAGGAAATGACTTGACGCTTCACCAAAGCAAGTCTGAAGGGAGCAAAAAAATGCAATCAATCATCCCTTAGTTTTCCAAGCTTACTTTTACCTTAAATTCTAGTCCTGAAGTCGCTTTGTATGGAAGAATGAGACAGGAAGAAACAATCACAATAATATTAGCCCAGAAGCCAAAAGCACCATGGCCTCCAGTCCTGGTTTAATACATCATGAGTCTTAACGTATGGACCTCAAATTTTCCGCCTTCAAAAACTGAGGCTATGGGGGACCATTCTTCCCATATTGACAGTTATCATTTATCTTTTTAGTTAGTTCTCATTAGGCTCAGATCATGTAGTCAATAAAGCAATACCACCCCTTATGTTGGAATGGAGAGAACATTAAAAAATATATTACCCTGTGAGATTAGGGAAGGGCTTATTTTCTCCTATTTTACTGCAAATAAAGGACTTACGGGCCTAAGAGATTTTCTTCAAAGCACAGGGATCTCAACCCACCCTCGCTGCAGGTCTTCCTACACTCGCTGCCTACTTCCTTCTCAGAGATAAATTTCTCTTCTGCTTCCTTCAGACACTTAGAAGCCAGTCATAGGACAAACTCATTTGCACTTGTTCTAAATTACTGCGCCTCGGTTACATTCCCTCATTCACTCAGGTTGGTTTGGTTCTGGAACTGGGAAACAGCAAAGGAACACTGACACCTTCCTAAATGCAGGTTCTGACGCAATAATACTAACAGGAGAAGGGGACTGGGAACTCGAGAAAATGTGCAGTGACCACTAATGGGAAGAGCTTCTATTTTGGGGGCGTGACCAAGTTTTCTACAAGTGCTTGTGGTGATGGTTGCACAGATTAAGGATGTTCTAACCGTAAAGTCTCTGCACAGTCCAAAATCTAAAAAACTCCGAAACCTGGAATACATCTGGTCTCAAGCGTTTTGGATAAAGGATTCATTCACACTCCACCATGTAGGCTGCCGACACGTGTAAATGTCAGAGTCTGGGAACTGCTCAGTATAAAATTTGGTGGCTGAGAAAGACCAAAAGAAGATTTTCTGTTCCCATCTTCCACTTACCCATGAGATTTTAACATTAGGGTACTTCATCACCTACCCTCGTAAGGATTCTGAGCTGCCTGGCTTCTTCAAAATAGGCTTTATCCTGTTTTGCAAAAGGCAACCTGCGGGCCGGGGAGGTAGCTCAGTGGTACAGCACCTGCCTGGCAAGCACAAGGCCCTGGGTTCGATTCCTGGTCAAAAACTCAAAAAAGAGCAACCTGCACCCTTGGGTTTTTAACTTGAGTTCCAGTTTGTATAGAGTTGAAGAAGTAAGATTTTCTCCCTCCTCTAACACTTTTGAGAGTATCAAGCCAACCTATTTGGAAGTGAAGGTGTTTTAACATCCAGACTTCAACCAAGCTCTAGAGGGAGTAAATTTCAAAGTTGATTCCCTCATGTTTTCCTTTATAGGTAGGTAGAATGGTTGGCCTGTTTCTGGACATTTTTGGAACCAGGACAAGTTTAAGCACAGCAGAGGAAGCCAATTTTCCTGTTGTGTCTTTCATCAGCACCTTGTAGCTTGCACGTACCCAAGGGCATTACAGGTGCTCTTACCATCTCTTATGACTGATTCACAACTCTTTCCTACCACAGAATCATTTAGGAAGCTGGCATTTTCTCTTGGCTGTTACACCTGGTGCTATTAGAGAAGCCCTGGACATCCTCCCTGAAAGTAAACAGAGTAATTCAAGTGTCCCTCGCCACGGCTCACCTTCTGCATGATGCCCTTTTCATAGTAATAGCGTAGAGAACGGCTCAGCTTGTCGTAGTTCATGGCTGGCCGGTTCTTCTGGATGCCCCAACGCCGAGCAACCTGAAGGACAAGGAAAGCAAAGAGCGATGGAAACACGTTCTCTGGGCTTATAGTCTTCTCCCGGCCCCAGCAGTGCCAGCTCTGTAACCCGCCTGCCTGCCTTGGCCAATGATCCATTTCTCTGACCTGGAAGGGAAAAGCATTTAATCCCCTCAAGAGAAACCCTGAACAATGGTGATGCCTTGGTTACAGCTGCTAGGAGGTGAGACTTCGAGGCAGAAGCATCCTAGCACTTTAAGACTGCACAGCACTTGGCTAGCATCCCAGAGGATGCAGGCTCTCTACTGCTTCTCGACGTATGAATTATTGACCAATACTCACCGCCCATTAACATGTTGCCATTAAGTGCTATGGTTTCTGTAGCAGTCAATAAGGAATAATTAGAATGGTCATTCCTGAAACATTAGAAACACGCTAGTGAGTTGCTAATGGGCCAGCAGAGCAAAAGTTCAATTCTAATAAGATTGGAGAGGGGCTGCGACATGTTTACTTATTACAGCTCACGGACTAAGGGGGAATCGGATCATTTCGGCCCGCTGCCATCCAATCCGCTGCTCCCAGAAGACTTGCAGAATGGACATTAAAGCACGTAGCGCCATTATCCACTTAATGAAAAATTAACAGGGCCTCCCGAACAGTTCTGAAGTACATTATACCCAGCCCAGTCCACCTGAGGTGCAGTGATGCGGAGATGTAATTGGAGCTTTGGGCAGAGAAGCCGTAGAAAAAGCAAACTTCCTAGTGGAGTCCACCCCGTTACCAGGGCAACCACGCAGGTCCTGTTCTCAGCATCTCCACTTCCAAAGCCCTATGCATGCAGATGAGTGCACCAAGGCAGGAAGGAGAAGGACAAGCCTGAAGTCTGAGTTTCCTCAGCGCTCTCTCCATGTGTGGAAAGCAGTTGTCATGCTTTTAACATTTTTGGTCAGTTTCGGGAGTTGAAGAAAAATGACAAACTGGTACTTCTGAGATTTTAAAAGCCAAATGCTGAATTCGGAGTAGGCAAGTAGAGCAAAAACAACACTACACACAAAGATTTTGGGCAGAATGAAAGCAGTATCTCTTTAATTCAGAATCCTAAAATGACCTTTGATAAATACCAGGAATGATCTGGTAAGGAAGAATGCGTCTGTCTTAATTATGTTAGAAAAATTCAATAGTCGGGATTCTACTCCATTGTGCACGAAGCCCCATGAAAGCCGCTTCCATGCAGTCCAGGGCTCCACACCCTTCCGGCACACAACCGCTGAGAGGCATCCTCTCTCCTCCATAATGCACCCACTCCATTCCATCCTCAAAACAGCCCGTAAGGCAAACTTAACCAACGATGACACCTTGGTCTGAGAGGACAAACATTTTCAACCGAGGGAAAGAGCGGTAAGAAGGGAAATCTGACAGCAGCGCGAGTCCTGCTGCCCTGTCCAACAGCAACAACTCCCTGAAACTCGTCTTTACCTGCTGTCTGCGCAGGTGACTCGGGGAAATTGCCAGGAAGCCTCGCCTCATCACTCTCCTCTGTTCTGGTGGTGGGAAACAATTCTGAACACTCTTCAACGTCAGGGCTGACCTCCCTTTGCCGTCGTTTACATATTCACTAGCTCACGGGAGAGAGGTTTTTTGTGTAATGCACAGATTTTGAAGCAGCTCTGGTAGCCATAGTTACTGACTCATCCTCCTGGGACAGAGCCCTATGATTCAGTAGCCCTGAGCATGCTGCTCCTTCTATAGCAATGCATGAGGCGGCATAGCTCCAGAGCAGCTGGAGCTGAGGGCTGCCCTTCTTCTGTCGCATGGGGAGCAAGCAGGCACTCGCTACCGGCCTGGTCTTTCTTTCACACCTTCCACTAGTTACTTAGGGAGGCGCACACATCCTGAGGCCTGACTGGGAAAGAGTTTTAAAAAAAAAAATCCACCTAGCTCCTCCTCCCCTTCCAGGAGAGAGCAGGCTCGAGGCACAGGGAGCGGTTTTTCTAGCAGCCGTCCTTTAAAACCTCCCGTGGCATCACTTATCTGCCACATGTTCAACAAACAACCCTACCCCCCAAAATATTCATTAATGCAGATTCACAGTTAAAATGGCTCCAGATTAAAGCCGAGTCAGTCATAATTGAGAGGGTGCTAAGCTGGATGACTATCAAAAGACATTTGATTAGGGGGTCTGCCAAAACGCAGTTCTAAAACCACAATTTCCATGCACAGTGTAATGGGTATTACGGATAATTACCCAGAGTGCACTACTCAGCCACACAGCTGCCTACAATTACGTCCCCAACAGCTCCCTCCTCCGCTTCACCCTTCAAGCTCCCCCATGACGACTCCTTACAGCTTCTTCCAGGACTTGGTATCTTCCTGACATTAAAAAGAACAGAGGAGCAGAGGGGGGAACTCAGCAAATGCTGCGTGTCCCGCAGCCGAAGTGCACGCCGGGAGCCCCGTTGGGCCTGGGTGAGAACAGAGCATCTGTGGCTGGCAGGATGCTGGGGGCTTCAAGGTGAAGTGGAAAGAACAATTCCTGAAGAAACACAGCTGCCCAATCAACAGAGAGAGGCTCAAGGCCACCACAGGCCACTCACACATGTGACTCAGGGGCTTGGCATTTATGAGCATTCGGGATTAATATTACTTTCTTTATTAAGAAAGCAGGGGCCCTCTGCCATCTGTTCATCATTTTCTTTACCACTGGTAGGAGAGCAGCAGATTCAATAACAGCTTTACAAAGGGTCATAACCAGGTTTACCTGCAGCTGGACAGCCTGTGCTCAGGCCTCAGGCAATGGCCATAAAGTAATAAAAGCTTCTGTTTGTGAAACAAGATAAATCAATAAGAGCTGCCCACACGACCGACCGACTTTCCGAAACCCTCCACAAGTTGAGTTGGTTGGGAGTCAACGTGACGTGCTTTCCTAGCGCTTCACAGAAGCTAGGCCATGTTATCAGGAAAGCGGCAAGGGGAAGGACAGGCCTCATGAGGGGCAGGGCACCTCCAGGACGGCTGGAAGCTGGAAACGCGGTCCACTTCCACAGGACTCAGCCGGAAAGAACTCGCGGGAAAACACAGCAGAGTCTGGCTCGGCAGGTAGACCAGAACCCAACCCAACTACAAGCTGTTTACAGGACTAGATGTAGACACACAGCCAGGGTCATGAATGAACCCAGTGAATACACACGTCTTCACAGCAGCCTTTAGGGAAGCCTGCTGTATTCTCCTATCAATCAGGATTAGATTCCGAATCCATATTCTCGCTTCCTTTTCCCATTTCAACTTTTAGGCCACTTCTTCCAAACCAAGTGCTGGGCTGTTACCTCCTGCTGTGCTGAATCATCCGGCCGGTGTGCTCCAGGGAGCCCCGGAGTCCAGCCAGCATCTGAAACTGCAGTCCTTGCTCACATGCTTTCCAAGGGTCCTGTTTCCATCACCTTTTTACCTAACCCCAAGGTACTTTTTGCTCTGCTCCTTTAACTCACACACCTAAGCACACACGACTAAGAGCAACACAGCAGTTCTGAGAGGCAGTTATTTCTTTTCCATTTGTAATTTCTTTAGATTCTAAATCAAATAAAAACTAAAATTAACCCCCTTTGTAGTAGGTTACATGGACAGTCTTGTTTAATTTACTTTATTGCATGATATTCAGTGAGATTCAGGGATTCTATACTGTGCTTTCTTTTCTTTTTTTTGGCTTTCTTCCAGTACCAGGAATCGATCTCACGACCTTGCGCTTGCCAGGCAGGCACTGTGCTGCTGAGCTAAATCCCCAGCCCCTATACTGTGCATTCACCATTGAAGAAATGGCACAGGTTCTGTCCTCAGCTTTTCTGTCAACAGTTGTGAACAAAAAGTAGGTAGCAATGTTTCTTTTTTCTCTTAACAGAATAATGGAGTGATGCTACCTAACACTTTAAAAAAAAAAAATCAAAGTTCCAGCTGGGCGTGGTGGTGCACATCTGTAATCCCAGCACTCAGGAGGCTGAGGCAGAAAGACTGCAAGTTCAAGTCTAGCTGCAGCAACTGAGAGAGACCCTGGAGCAAAATGAAAAACCAAGACCCTGGAGCTGGGCATGGTGGCGCACACCTATAATCCCAGCACTCAGGAGACTGAGGCAGGAGGATCGGTGCGAGTTCAAGGCCAGCCCGGGCTACAAAGTGAGTTCAAGGCCAGCCTGAACTGCATAGTGAGACCCTGTCGCAAAAAAAAAAAAAAAAGAAAAGAAAAAGGAAAAAAAAGGCCCTGGGTTAAGGGCAGGATTATTAAAAAAAAAAACGAAGTTCTAAGACTGACTCATCGCTGATAATTTTCTTTTTCCATGTTGGTGCCATTTCAAGTATGCAGGGTGTTAGTTCCATTATGGAAATCTTATACTCTTAAGAAATCTCATACTCTTTTAGGTTCACAGTTTCAGATAGGGAGCCTGATGGACAAGGTCTGAGACCAAGGCAGCTCTGTGTGATTCAAACACTTGAACAACCTTCCACGAGGGAGGGTCCCATAAACATTTCATGTATTGGTGGATTCTACCTATCCATGCAAACTGTCCTGTTAACAGGAAGGAAACAGCCAAGCCCTCTTGCCAGTCTAGCGAGAGGATGAGCTGAGCATATTTACTACAGTAAAAAGCTTCTAAACAACCAACGTGGTCATCAGCAACCACACGTCAAGTCGCCCGTGCCCGGCGTGCAGCGCTTACCTCCTCCGGTTCTATCAGCTTGAACTCCATGCCTCGGCCGGTCCAGGCAATGAAGTGCGCGTTGGCTGGGTCATCAAGCAGGGTGACCAGGAACTGCCACAGCTGGAGTGAGCCTCGCCTCTGGTAAGGGGGCCCTTCCCGATACATGGTGGGCTCCTGCTTGATTTTGCCTGTTCGGGACAAAAATCCAAGCGCTACAACTTTTGCCCAGGGTTTCTCAGGCAATCTGGACAAAAGGAGCCATTTCTGCCCATTTAGTCATTAACTGGGTGAGACGGTCTGAGGGACTGTGACATCTCCAACCGTATCTTTTAAAAGCATCACCCCTCGGATGGGTTACTTACCTTCCAGTCGCTCAGGCACAACGCAAGTGTCGTCGAAGTATAACCGGGGATCTTTTTCATATGAAAAACCTGCAGGAGTTTAAAGAGAAAGACTATGTTGCTTAGCAGCTTCTGCGTTGTAGTACAACTACAGACTGAAGGACTACACGAGAGTTCTGTCATGTCAGGGCCTAAGCCCCACTGCTGTGTCTATGCCAGGCTCAGTCTCAGGCGACTCTGAAAGGACCTAGGCACTGGAGCTCTGATGTGATCAGCTGAGCCACAGCTGAAGCGGCATCAACTCCTGCTGTGACAGCTAAGGCTGCGGGAAGCACTGAGTCACCAGTAGGTCCCTTCACGTCTTGCTTACGAGGACTGCGTGGGTCAGCTGCTATGAATCTGCAAAGAGGGCTCGTCTATTTTGGTTTGCCCAGCTGGATGGGTTTATGTGACCTGTATGTAGTCTTGCCACTTTCCTTTTAGCAAATGTTAATTTCATCTTTCCTACGAACTGGTCCAAGCTACCCACCTATTTCATCTAGTCAGGGAAGCTTGGACGGTAAAGAACATTGCCTATGTGAAGAAAGATCGGGCCCAGAGTGGGTTGCGGAGTGCAATATATTTCAGAGCAAGGTGGAAGTAGAATCACCAAGCACAGTGTAAGGACCTTGGGAGACTTTCTAGCAATAAAGCGTATTCACTGCATAGACCCCAAAACTGAGATCTCAGAAAGGAAGTGATTGGTTCGCAGAGGTGTATGAAGGAAATGAAAGAAAGTAAGATACAGGAATAAGTGGGTCAAGGAGAACAGCCTGACCTTCTCTGTCCATGAACCCTTCCTATACACTTAGTGCCAACCATGTCACGGGGCACCTTGAGAAGATCAGAGGTTCAAACCGAAGCCACGTGGCAGCCAGGCACGATGGCACACTCCTGTAATCCCAGCACTTGGGAAGCTGAGGCAGGAGGACTGTAGTCAGTTGATGGCCAACCTGGGCTGCACAGTGAGTTCAAGGACAGCCTGAACTATGCAGTGAGACCCTGACTCAAACAAAGAACAGTAAAACCAAAGCCAGCTGGTAGATCTCCTGAGGGGGATCCTTCTCTCCGTCTTAGAACTGCAGTGTGTATTTCTCTACCAAAGCACTTCACAGGAGCTCCTGTCTGAGAAATGAGGCCTCTCTGGGCTTGCTGTGCACTGCTTGACCAGGCTGTGCAGTACAGGTGAGTGTGTACTGCACACCTGTACGAAGGAGGAGAAAGGGTTCCACAGGGAAGAGCCTGCCTTAGCATTCGAGGGATTTGCTGTGACTGGAATAATCCATGGATAAAGCAGCAAACACCTGATTCTACTGCTTTCTGCTTCTGCACAACCAGCCCAGATCAAGCAGCTCCTTGACAGAACCAGCACCATGTAAAGAGGCCCAGGCCTGGAAAAAAACCGGCCTAACTTGGAGGAAGCTGAGACTGTCTTTGAGGTTTGTTCTATTGACTTTTGTTTCCTTAGCCCCAGGCACGATTTCTCTGTTGCTTAACTACATCAAATGAAGTTCACTTTATTGGCATTTATTTATTATTGAATCTACAAAATATTTAGGCCAGGTATTATGCTGGGGGTGGGGGAACAGTGAGAATCAACTGAGGGAGAAAGCCAATGAAGAGAAAAGGAAGTAAGGGAGACACAAAGTACTGTGGAAGTTAAAGAGTGTGTGTGTAGGGGGCAGACTGGTGGAACCAATCAACTGTGTGATCTTCAATAAATTCATCCATCTGTGTCCCAGTTTCCTCATCAGGGAAGGCTGGGAAAGAGAATAATCCCTGCCTCACAGGGTTGTTATGAGAATTTAATGAGTTAATACACAGTCTGTTCCATCGATCACTATCTTTACTACAGAGCGCCAAGAATAGCTGCTGGAACATACATGTGTAATAAATGATAGTTAAAAAAAACACACACAGCCACTGCACAAAGTACTGTTAAGAAATTAACTGCAGTGTGAGAGCTTTAGCTTACATCTTTTGTCAAGGAGGCCAGATTCTTTGAGGATAAGAACCATATCCTGAGTTATCTCCTGGCCTCAGAGCACCTTGTACCTAAGAAGTACTCAATAAATATCTGAATAAATGAGAGCTCTGTAGTCTACCGTTAAAAAAAGATTTACTTTAAAGATGGTATCATGTAACAACATTGTTAATATCCTATCACCATGTTTTAAAATTCTGTATCACTTTTATTGTTCTCTATGCTGTTTTTGTTTATGTATTTGTTATTGTTATTTGGGTTTCTTTATTTTTTAAGAAAACATTTCCAAGGCATTGAGTGACTCCTGATAAATTTGCACTTCATTAGTAAGACATAATCCTTTACCCGGCATGCTTTTAACCTTGGCTACTAGGCAGTTGTATTTTTCTGGACCCCCCCATATGCATTTTGACATTCCAGGCATGTTTAAATGGTCTCATTATAAGGTGACTGTAAGTGAACTACTTCAAAATGTATATACTTCTCAAGCTTGCCGTGTTACTTTTAGAACTTTTCCTCCTCTGAGGTCAATATAATGCACATATACTCATAATATTATACAAATGTTCAATGTTACATAAACACACATACACACACACACACACACACACAACTGCCATAAATGTAGATTAAATTCTTGTTTTGGTTTTCAAAAACTAATCAGCCCAAGGCCTATAGAGAGTCCTGTTTCAATACACTTCGTGGTTTCTAGCTACTGTCACATGTGAGCCTCTAAAACATCTGGGAAATGCTGTTGGTTTAAGTGAAATCTCAATCAGCTGCACTTGCAGTTATTTCAGTTGTGGCCACAACCACTTCATCGCCCAGATAAAGGTGGCAGGAAGGAAGAGCCGATTTGTGGGGCAGAATGGAAATGAAAGATTCAAGACATTATGCAAGGGTTCCAGGTGAGCGCGTCAGGCAGGACAGCTATCTTAGCAATCGCTGATGCCAATCAGAAACACTTGTTTCGCTAACTGCTGCACGGGCATCTGAGGTCACTCCTGTATGAAAAGGACAGAAAAACCACGCCAGGGAAATTTAGAACAATTAAAAACGCCCGTCTTTTTGGGAATAGCTTCTTCCCAAAAAGATGCATGTGTGTGGGGTCAGGCGAAGGGAGGGGCGCACACACTCACCATAGACAGTCTGTATAGTAAGCAACCTGATGCCGTACTAAAAATATTTTCTTTAAGGGCATACTCTTTCCTAAACGTTGTAATTATGCAAAATGTCTCCTTCCCTCTTTTGCCCAGCTCCCTCCTGACTGCCTGCTGTAGACATCAACTGCTTCTATAGAAACATCCGGAACCTGGATGAGAGGACCACACCACCGTGCCCATCACAGCCAGCGGCCCCTTACACTGCCTTTCCTCTCCAGGGCTGCACGCTCATTAAGGATACGACAAGGCACCCGGGGAAACGCTGAGTCGCCCCTCTGACTGAGCCAGTGGGAAACAGCTACCCATAGGAACTTGTCAATCAATTGCTCCTCAAAACCAGCCAATGTTGAGGCTGGGGATTTAGCTCACCGGCAAAGCGCCTGCCTAGCAAGTGCAAGGTCGTGAGTTCGGTTCCCGGTACCGGAGAAAAACCAAAAACAAAAAAAAACAAAAAAAACCAAAAAACCAGCCAATGTTTCAGAGGTACAGTTCTTTGGATCATCATCTAAATAAAATGCTAGAGGTGAGTGCTTCTCAAGCTTAGAAGATACTGGATCGCATCCTAGATTTTGTGATTTAATTGCTCTGGGTGAAGAATGGATCAAGACATTTTAACATCCCCCCCCCACCTTGCACCCGCAAACTGTGAAGCCAAAGCTGAGAAGCACTACTCTGCAGGTATCAGACTTCAGGGGATGTCAGCAACTCCTGCAGGGCTTGTGAAAGCAGACTGCGAGAAGCTTCTGAGTGAGACCCGAGACTGCATATTTCTATCAAGTCCCGGGGGAAGCTGATGCCCCAGGTTTGGGGAACCACAGTCTTCTGGATACTTAACATCTGACAGAAAACAAGGTATGCTTCTGGGGAACCTAGTCTAAGAAAACAAAAAACAAAAACACAAAAAACCCCCAACCTCTCCTGTTTCAGTCATTGGAAGAAGGCAAGCCCTTCAAGCTGTGACTGCCCTGAAGTGTAACTTCAGCCCCAAGCCTAGCTCGCCACGCCTTGCTCGTCCCGCAGATTTCATCTCAGCCCCCAACCAACCGGCCTTCTTTCCACCAAATGAGCCGACTGATCTGCCATTGTCACCCATTCATGCAGGAGCTATTCAGCAAAGGCTCCAACAGCTTAATTACGCTCCCGGCAACAAAAGCACCCCCTTCCTCCTCTGCATTCCCATAAAATTACTTCGCTAAAGAATCTTGAATTTTCTAAATCTGTGATGATGCACTGAAGACAAACAACAAAACGGGTGGAGGGGCACAAAACTGGCAGAGGGTGCCCTGCAGTGTCACAGCCCTTTAACCTAGGAGTTTCAGGGACTCAGCATCAAGAACTAACGGGAGGGCGGAGCATGTGAAAAAGATTTAGTTACACAAATGTCCGCTTCAGATTATTTTGTGAATAATCTGCAAACAGCCACATTTTCAGCAAGAGGCGATCAGCTGAATGCATACGCGCACGCACGCAGTGAGCTCCGTGCAGCCGCTAAGGAGGAATCACAGGAATGCTGGATGCCATAGCAACAACGCTGACTACAGCATGGAGGGCGATGAAGAATGTGACACTTGGCTCAGAGTTCTGGCTCCATCTTCTCAGCCACAGGACCAGGAGCAAATCTTTTTTTTTTTTTTAAACAGACTCTTGCTATGCAATTTCAGGCCCGTCTTAAATTCACGGTGGCATCCAGGCTGGCCTCAAATTCAGTGATCTTCCTGTCTTAGCCTCCAGAGTGCTGGGGTTATAGGCCTGTAGCACCAAGAGCAATCTTGAGCAAATTTTATAACCCGTCTGAGCCCCAATTTCCTCAGCACTCTATGCAACTACGAGAAGTATTTTAGAGGACTGTGGTGACTATTAAATAAAGAGCTTCAAACAGGCTTTGAGACATAATAAGTGCTGAGCGGGAGCTGATGACTATGAGGCTATTGTAAAGAACAGACTGTAAAATAATGAGTCCTGTATGACCTGCAAGCATAAAAGGAATAGAAGGCTACGTGGCAAGTTAATGATTATCTCTGGACAGTAAGATTTCACTGCATCTTTTTTTCCTGTCTGTAATTTTTTTGTTTTGTTTTGGTTGTTTGGGGACAGGATCTTGCTTTATATTTATAGTCCAGGCTGGCCTAAAACTCACGGTGGGCCAGGGATATAGCTCAGCGGTTACAGCACTTGCCTGGCAAATGCAAGGTCCTGAGTTCAAATCCACACACACACACACACACACACACACACACACACACACACTCACCTCACGGTGATCCTCCTACCTCAGCCTCCTGAGTGCTGTCTGCATTTTCTAAATTCCAAGTATCCAACATTTATTGCTTGTGGTAAGCTACAGGTTTATTTTTTAAGAAACGTAGCTCAAAAGCAAGCTCCTCCAGGGAACTCTGAGATTCTAGCTCTACTCTGACCACTTCCTTGAGCTTTGATGCCGGGGACATCTGCATCTTATTCGCTCTAAATGACTTTGGCCCCAATTAGGTCAGCGCTAATGAAGGCAAAGTCATAGGCTCAACCTTGCCCACCGCTCTTATTCCTAATTACAATGAGATTATCTCAGAGCTTTCCAGAACTAGCTGATCCCAAAGAGACCGGCCTTAAGAATTCGAATAGATAGCACATCCTTGACATACAGTCGTCATCTTTGTGTGCCAATAAATGTCAGGACAGATGGTAAGTCAGGTTTCTGGGTACGTTGCTTTGTATTTGTTCTCTTTTTCCTTTAAAGCATCTTTATTTTTTTATTTATTTATTTGGTTGTTTTGAGACAGGGTCTCGCTATGCAGTTCAGGCTGACCTTCAGCTCACTTTATAGCCCACGCTGGCCTCAAACTCACAATGATCCTCCTGCCTCAGCCTCCCGAGTGCTGGGATTACAGTGTGCACCACCACGGCCAGTTTAAAGCACCTTTAAATGCATCCTGTTAGGAACGTTTCTTTGGTGACTTTCCAGTGTTCTGTACATGACACAGCTCTACACAGTCCCGTCAACCTCCTTCACTCCCACCTCCCTTCTGATATCCCTCTCTCATCTCTCAAAACCAGAGAAGCACACCTCAGATTTCACTCCATGGGAACCATGGCAACCATTCCTCGTTGAGCAGTTACCAGGAAAGGCTACCACCCAAACCAAGGAGAACCTAGAAACACATTTTAAAAGTCTTTCCCAAGATGTCCTTGCACTCCTATATCCACCTCCTATATCCACTGACACAATTCCTAAATTCCAGTTTAGGCTGATCTATCTGGAAGTGTGGACACCAAGAACTTCCCTTTTTCTTCCCATTGTCCTATGAACTCTTATAAGTTAGGGTCATCGCTGCTAAAAATGATGGTACCCTCACTGTCTTTAGGAGCATATCTCAAACCCTATGAGCAAGAGAATTGTCGATTATGATCAGTTAGCTTTCATCATCAGCTAAGGAGAGTTTAAATCTATGATCTTAAATTTCAACCTGCAAACAGCAATTTTACAGTTGAATGTTTTGCAGTTCAGGCAGCGGTCCTCCTGCCTCAGCCTCAGCACGCTGGGATTACAGGGATGGCCAACACACCTGGCTTAAATGTTTGTCTGTTTGTTCATTTACTTATTTATTTGCTTTTTTTGAGACAGGGTTTCACTATGCAGTTCAGACAGGCCTTGAACTCACAGTGATCCTCCTGCTTCAGCCTCCCAAGTGCTGGGATTACAAGCACATGCCACCACGCCTGGCAAATGTTTATTATTTTTTAAAAAGCAAACTCCTTACCTTCATGGCTGCTGGAGAAATATCCCCCTCTCATGTAAGATGACTGGCAGTTAGGCACTTCTGAAAGAGAAGCACAGATGTACACACGTCTGTCAAGTTTCGGCAGAAGCAGCGCATAGAATCAGCTCAGCAGCAGTAACACCCCATACCTCCTCCTGCTCCAAGGCAATACCTCTGGCCTTGTGTGGGAAAGAGGTACTGCCCCACTAAGCCCTATCAGAAACACTGCCTCCTACCATCTGAAAGCAAGGCACCTCTCATTAAGAGTCATGGAAAGAGAAAATGATGCTTCTCCCCTCAAAAGTCACTAAGTGTAGAAATTAACTAATGTTAAATCCGGCAAGAGAGTTCTGAAAAGGCCCAGCTTGGTCTCCTGGGCTCTAGGGTGGGGAGGGAGGATTGCTTTAGATCGTCCTCAATTTGCTTCATTTCACTGAAGACAGTCTCATCCAATTCTCTCTCTCCTTTTGTCTTTTTGAGACGGGTCTCACTATCTAGGTCAGCTGCCCTTGAACTGTCTTTGTAGGTCGGGCTGGGCTCAAACTCACAATGCCTCAGTGTTTGTGCATGTGCACACACACACACACACACACACACACACACACACACACATACACACGCGCTCGGATTATAGGCGTCGTCCACCACACCCAGCGGGTCACATCCAATTCTGCTGCAAGTGGTGTAGTATTTTTACGTCAAAGAGATTAGCCTATCTGAAGTTGCTAAGCCAGTTGGGCGTGTTACCCTGAAACCAAACTGTATTCAGGTGATCTCTTCTTCAGGTCTTTTGGTGTCAACATGTTCATGAGAGGAGTGAGGTGGGGATGACATGTCACCCAGGTATACGACTCAGGTCAAAGAATTACAAGCTGGGCAAGTGGCACACGCCTGTCACCCCAGCACTCTGGAAGGCTGAGGTAGGATGATCACAAATTTAAGCCTAGCCTGGGGAATTTAACAAGAGTGTCTCAAATAACAACAATAGGTATGGGGGATGTGGTCCAGTACAAGGACCCTGGGTTCATTCCCAGTAAGAGGAGGTGGAAGAATTACACATATGGTAATATTTGCTGAGTATCTTGCTGGGAGTGCTGGTTTGCACAGGTGAACAAGCTGGGACAGGTTAAAATGTCAACCCCAAAGGGAAAAACATTGCTGGACGTGGCTACTTCCAGGAAAAAAGCCCCAAAGCCTTCAAGAGGAACGCTAATAGGCATTTTTACAAGTGACCACTACCTGACTCATTTTTCCATCATAAAAGCAACAGAGGCCATGCTCTGTCTCCCTCCCTGGCCTCTCACATACCATTTCTGCCTCAAACGCAGCAATCCATGTGTTATCTGTATCTACACCCCACACCAGCTACAAAAGGTCACTCAGGCTCACACTGCCCCAACCTTCCCCAGGGTCTTCAGAAAAAGCCCTCAAGAGAAAGCTGAAGAGCCTATCAACTACCCTTAACTTCCTTTAGCACTAATTCCCAGAAAAGAGTGAAGAAGTTTAGTTATTTCTGGAAAGAAAAGGAGAAACGAAGAGGAGGAAACAGTTCCTAAATGTGCAAGCTGCAAAATTCTAATGCTCCTTCCCCCTAACAGTCACATTTAGTATAGCTAGCCTACAAGACATGTAGACAGAGAGTGAGTTACGGGGTGGGAGATTAGGCAGATTAAACTTATGGATGTGAAGTTCTTAGGCCAAGCCGGGTGTGGTGGCACATGCTTATAATCCCAGCACTCAGGAGGCTGAGGCAGGAGGATCACTGCAAGTTTGAGACCAGTCTGGGTTACAAAATGAGCTCAAGGCCAGCCTGAACTGCACAGTGAGACCCTGCCTCAAAAAGTTTAAAAAAAAAAAAAAAAAGAAGTTCCTAGGCCAAACAATAGGTGCCCTTGCAAGCTACACTGCTCTTGGTGCCTATGGTAGCTGCTAAGGGACACAAGGACCTTCCCGGCTGCAATCACTGTAACAGCAGTGAATTCTATGAAGCGACGAGAGTGCTCTTTCAAGTGTCCCCAGCGCCCCATACACCTATGAAACACCAAGAGCGTTCTCTGATCGCCATTCACTTCAAGAACAAAAAGAATCCTGTCCTGCACATGGACTCTCTTGTAGTCAGACTGGGGGATGAATGGGCCTGCTGTATTCAAAAGCAAAACCACAAAACTAGGATGGCACTAACGGACAGAAATAGTGTTCCCTGTGTCCACTGAACGTAAGGCTAATACATCTTAACAAAGGATGCCATTCCAGACTGGTGTCGGTTCTATTTTGTGTTCAATTATGCATGACCGTGTCTGCCGTACTACTGCCGAGTTCTTTTAGGGCGATTCTTTTGGTGGTTGTTGCAGCGTTAGGGCTTGAATCAAGGGCCTCCCACTCCTTTGGTTTGCAAGCCCAGCCCTTGAGAGCAATTTCTACAAAACTGTGCCCCAAAGCCTTGCAGACAGAAGACAATAATGATAAGTATTGAAGAAATGAAGCAATTTCATTTGAAAATGATGAAAGGAATGGCACGGTTTTATGCTAACCTGAATCAACGCAGTAATCTCGGGGCTCTTGCTTGATTCCCATTGGTGACTGGAACCCATGCGCTGGGGGACCCGGCATTCCAGGGACCCCGTGTTCATAGAGCGGGTCATGGTATTCCTGTTTGAATCCCTGAGGGGGAGGAGGGGCTGCAGGGACAATTGGTTCCGACATTTGCCGGTGGTAACTGGGGCGGTTATCCCCGGGCACTCCTGACTGAGGAGGGAAGGGGTGGCAGGGTTCAGACAGTTGTCGCTGAAATCTGTAAGAAGAAAGAAACTGATTAAGACATGATTGAGCACTAGGGGCTGGAAGTTTAGATTTATGAACTTACAAACTTAAGTACTTATCAACGCTTATTCTTTTTTTGGTACCAGGAATTGAACTCAGAACCCTGGCGCTTGCCAGGCAGGCGCTTGTGCCAATGAGCTATATCTCCAGCCCTATGCTTATTCTTGACATTTTTTTCTGTACCAAAAATTATACTGCACATCGCAAATCTCTTCAGTGAAAAAGAGGCCAAAGC